AGTAGCAAGGATTGCTTAGTTCAGCTGTTTGAGGTTTGTGTCGGAGTGATTGTAAAGAGCTAACGTGTGGTGGCATGAAGTCGATTCACACACATGTACACAACCACATAGACACACAGGGACACATGCACACACAAAGACGTAGCGCTCTCGCTGTGACAAATTAATCCATCAATCCACATCAGCCTAACAAGGTGGCTTTCAGGTTAAATCCTCAGCAAAGTCTGCATGAGCCATGGAGACCAGGAAACAATGACAAAAAAAAGAAGGAGGGAAATGAGAAAAAAAAAAACGAGAGAGAAGAAAAAACAGAGATAAGAAAAATGAAGAGACAATCACAGAGGGGGGAGGCGGGGATGTGTCTCTCTGAAGACGCAGTTTTGGCAGAGTCTTTTCAGTGTGTTACTGTCGCAGTCAAAGTCAAAGTTCCACGAGGGAGAGATGCAGACAATGGACTGCACCAGTCTCCCTCAGCATCACACTGGCCCCCTGACACACACAGAGGCAGACAGACGCACACATTCTCAGAGATGTTCATTCTAAGCTCCTCTGCCTGTTTGTCAGCGTCTAAGCCTGATCGACGTTGGCAAGTACAAGCGTGAGCAAGAGAGAGCAGGGGAGCGACTGGGAGAGAGAGAGAGAGAGAGAGAGAGAGAGAGAGAGAGAGAGAGAGAGAGAGAGAGAGCTGGTTGTGGGTGGAGGAACCAGAGTAAGACAACACAAAGACATCATCACGGAAATCTAAAACAAAGGCTGACACGCATTTTGGCTATTGAGTATTTTCTGAACGCCGGTTCAATCCAAGAAAAACTTGACTCGCTTGTGTTTGTGCATGAGTGTATCCTATTTAAAAAAAAACTTCATATAAATGAGAATAATGCCACAAACTGAGTGTTTCACTGGCTGTCACTTGTTAACACTTTCATGCATTAAATCACACGTTTGAAGAAGAACCTGACTAAAGACTAACAAGCACCAAAAGATCAGTACTTTCTCCCCTTGCTCAGCAGGCTTGTCATCATTCCCGAGGATACTTCCTCAAGGAAATATCTCCGATACACTGATTGCGGGACACACACACACACACACACACACACACACACACACACACACACACACACACACAAACACAGAGAGAGAGCTTTGGGCTGTCCCCGAGACCAAAGGAAACCGCAGAGAAAGAAACACAGCTGCAACCGCTTGTTTTATGCCCCGTAAGCAGTGTGTGTTTCACTGTACTCTGTCCTATTTAAAGAGAGAATCAGTGTGTATAGAGAAAGATATGGACTGAAAAGTTCTGTTTCGTATTTCTCAATTTTCAACACGACTCTGTTCATGTCCAAATAACTGAACTGTTAAAAAATGACAGTGACTTGTAAGGTATTTATTTTAAGCATCCCAGTTTTCTGTGAAATTCCTCTTTGAAAGAGGATCTGATTTATCTTTAGAATAATTACGATATTTGTGCTGGTAGAGTAGTGGTTAGTGCGCCAACCCTATGGTCCTCCAAGCGGGCGGCCCTGGTTCGAATCCTACCTGTGGCTCCTTTCATACATGTCTTTCCCTCCCTGACTTCTGACTCTATCCACTGTCCTATCTCCACCAAAAAGGCATTAAAGCCCACAAATAATTCTTAAAAAAAATAATAATAATGACGTTTTAATATTTGTCGAAACAGGGTTTCTATGTTGGTGTAATTATTTATTATATAATTTAAAGAGTAGAGTAATTAATACTCATCAATACTCGTCAATGCATTGTTGTTTATTAAGTTGTTGTTGCTTTATTATTTTTTGAAGGAAGTTTTATGAAAACTGTTCAGCTCTAACCTCTATGTGGGAAATTCATTCATTTAGTCACACACACACACACACACACACACACACACACACACACACACACACACACACACACACACACACACACACACACACACACACACACACACACACACACACACACACACACACACACACACACACACACACACACACACACACACACACACACACACACACACACACACACACACACTTACTCACAGCGATGGTTTCCACACATCCATACACACTCGCTCTCTAAGACGGTTTCCCATTTCCGTCACTTTGCATCTCAGATTCAGCAAAATTATCATATAATATGAAATCTTCCAAGGTTCACATTTTCCACAGGATGATGGAGACTTTCCATTCCGAACACATTACCATAACAGTAACAGTTTTGTATGTGTGTGTGTGTGTGTGTGTGTGTGTGTGTGTGTGTGTGTGTCTGTCTACTTGTGGTGTAGTTGCCCGGTGGTTTCTTTGGCTGGGGAGGAGAAGACCATAGCTGGAAGTGAAAACTACATTCCCAGAAATCATTGTCTTTAAAGTCCTCATTTTCCAGGACCCCCCCCCCCCCCCTCCCCCCCTCCTTCCTCACAAAAGTCCATGCAGCTGTTGGACGTCTCAGCTCAGGCTTTCTGGAAAGATTTCAGTTATAAAAAATGCATTAGAGCAAAGTAGGTTGGAAAAGACTGCCACACTTGCCAGACACACACTCTCTTTAACAGCTCTCTGGGCCATGCAGAATAATAACAATACAGGGGATACGCTGACAAGCAGCAGGTATGAGGCATGTGTAAACAGGTTTTACGGTAGTTTCAAAATAAAAATGAGTCAGAAAATTGCACAGGGGAAAAAAGGATTAGGACTCTTAACGGCTTTATTGGACATCTATCAGGGATACTTTCTGTCTAAATAAACGCTAATTGGTTGGGATTTACAGATCAGTTTTCACTGAACTACTTCATCATATTATCTAATCATATCACTGCAGCCTCCTACTGCAGGTCAATTTAGATGTAAAGATGACAGATATTACACGTCAAGACAAGGCGATGAAGTCATTTACCAGATTTGCCATGTTGTCTCTGATGTCAGTCAATCAAAATAGAGTTAGAGGAATGATTACATTTGAGAAACTGTTGCTGTTCTCTTAGATCGACATATCAAAAACAAACAGTAGCCTACAGTGCAACACAAAACACAGCAGCATATTGAAGAACATACATTCACGCACTAAATTTGAACTGTATTCCTCCATGACGCGGCTGGATTACCTAAGTCAATTGCAGACACACCTGGTTAAAATCTGGTTAATTGGATACGTTTATTTAAAGGAACTTTCAACCCTGATGTTTTAAATAAAAAAAGGGGCCTGTTCTGCAATATCACTTCTTCTTTTGGTCGTTTCTTTAGAGCGGCTTCTTTAACAGATTGAAGTTACAAAGGGCGTTAGACATTTGTTTCACTGCTAGTCCCAAATATTTCATTAACATAGCTTTGCTAATGAAAAAAAATGAAAAATTGCTTCAATATACTAAAACTCTTAGGATCACATAACTTTAACGCAGGTCTTTCCACAGTGAACAGTTTAATGTAAATGTTGTTGCAGCTGTTTAATATGATGCAAATGTTCAGACTCAGTTTGCTTACAACAAGATTTGTTTAGGAGACAAACAAGAACATGCAACCATTACCATGAAGCCTGTGAAACTCTGTGTGTTAAATAGTACAACATACTGTCATTATCTTCCCCTGGATCTCCTTTGCTTTACTTGCTTTTTTTTTTCCTCCGCTTTTATTTTGACACCACTATATTTTGTCCTGAACAATCTAAACACTGTCCAGTTGTCTAGCTAATACAGCATGCTGTCTAGACTGCATGTGCAGTTTAACTTTACAACCAAGAGGAGAAAAAAACAGAAGAAAAAAAATTGTTTTCTTTATAGTTCCTTCTTTCTTTCTTGGATTATATTATTTTATGTATTAAGGTTGAACTCAAGTCCAATTTTAAGAACTAAGCATTGGAGTCTTTTCACAGCGTGTCTTTTATTATCCTTAAATCTCCTTTTTTTGGGACACTGAACATGAAAGTCAATAGCACCATGTGTAAAACTGACTCAGTGGGGCGCTGGTGGTGCAGTGGTTAGTGCTCGCGCCCCACGTATGGAGGCTTTCGTCTCAAGCAGGCGGCCCGGGTTCACATCCCACCTGTGGCTTCTTTCCCGCATGTCATTCCCCACTCTCTCTCTCCTTGATTTCCGACTCTATCCATTAAAGGCACAAAAGCCCAAAAATAAATCTTTACAACTGACTCAGAGAAGATTGTGGAAAAAGGCTGAAACGGATTGACACCAATAAAGTGGCAGGCAACAAGACGGACAAATAGGGGAATGAAGTAGAGTGCTCTTACATTCAAGTAGCTACAAATGATATGTGGCAGACTTCAAGGCGAAGACACAAAGAGAGATTGACATCAAACTTTTAAAAAGAAGTGTGTGTGGACTACATCAGTCAGTTGTTCCCCTCGGTTTTCTTCCACATGACTACTTCATTTCTGCTCCTAAGATCATGTGTGTCATTAAGAATTGGCCAATGTCCCCATCCCATATCTCTCCCCCGGTCTCTGTCTTATGTTCATCTGCACTTCAGCATAACCAGGAGGTATTGTAGAGGGAGGAAGGGAGCAGCAAATTATATAGGTGACTGAGGAGACTGAGAATGCAAGAGGACAGTTGAAGTGGATTATAAATGACACATGGGCACGGGGAGAGGATACTGGGGTACATACATAAAGTGAGTGCAAACATAGAGTGAAAACTGGAGAGGTGGAGGTTGCTCATAGAACAAAAAAATTAGAATTCAAAATGCAGGAAAAGAGCCCTTTGTTTCTTATTTATGTATCAGCAAATCAGAAGTCAGCAGGGGATCCTCAAGCTTCAATATCTGTTTACTATTTTAGTCAAAGTGCGCACTGTGCAAACCCTTAATGTACAGCCTTCACTGCATTTTCTAACTTACTTTTTTTGTTCTGTGTCATTGCAGACATTTTCACACCTTTGTTATTTTTCATACTTTTCTCTTGTTTTGGCCTTCTTTGTATTAAACCTTTTAAAGTCAAGCATTATTAAACAGTGGTTGTTTCATCTCATCTGTGAGTATTTGTATTTGTCTTACCTGCAGGGCTTCCAACCAAAGCTCCAACGTTGCTTTCATCTGCGACTAAAACAAAAAAAAAAGAAATGCATGTTAATATACCAACATACACAACAAATACTCACCAGGAACTTGCACACTTTCCATCGCTGTAGATCAATCCCTTTCATGATATCTATATAAGTAATATGCTTATTTTGTTGTGCTTTGCTTACCAAGAGTCAGAATTATTTTTCACATTAACATTATTTTTACATAAACTTTGTATAGAAATGTGTTTTATGGTATCGCATGTTTTTTTTCCGGTCTTCTTCCCAGATTTAAGTTCCCTACATTATATTCCTAAATATTATTTTTTCTGTCTTGTTTAACTAGATGGTCAAGAGTCACTCTTGTCCCTGTGATGATTGGTCAGCCTCACTGCTACTGAAGTCATTTCACTTCCTCCCTTCTCTGTCACCTCATTTGTCATTTACACTCCCTTCTCCCCTTCAGTCTCACATTCCCCTCTTATTTCACAGCTACCCCCCTTCGCCTTCTGCCCTTTACCCTTACTTTTCTTCTCTAAACATTGTTATCTTTTTTTTTTTTTTACATCAGTTATAATGCTTTCATCCAGCGGTGTTCTCCTCCCTCTTTTCCTCCTTTGATCATTGTCTCTCCATCATTGCTTCTTGTTTTTCCTCCTTTCACTTTCTTCTGCTCCGCCCTATCCCCATTATTTCTCTCCCTCCCTCCTTAAGCCACAACGCAGACCAATGCCAACAAGGAACACATTGACTGGTAGCAACATTAAAATACACACACATGCACACTTAAAACCACAAAGACCCAGCAGTAACATGGCTTCTCCCAGCAAATACTTCTCTAATGAAAACCAAACCTAAAGAGTAATACTAGCTGCGTGTGTGTGCGTGTCTGACGACATCTGTCTGCGGTGAATCAACACGACCGCCTCAGCAGCCCGGTAGTTAGTGGATTACTGTGTGTGCATGTGTATGCCTACTTCAGCAGAACTTGAAATGCCACGTATGTGACGCACACAGAGGCATCCTAATAGGGAGAGAGTCTCACCAAGACACTATCATGTACACGCACACACGCACACGCACACACACGCACACACACACACACACACACACACACACACACACACACACACACACACACACACACACACACACACACACACACACACACACACACACACACACACACACACACACACACACACACACACACACACACACACACACACACACACACACACACACACACACGAAGGGGCTGTAAAATGGGATTGGATTGGATTTACAAATGTTCTCACATGTATTCCGTTCTGATTTATTACCCCTGGACTCGATTTGCAACAAAGAAGATATAAATGACAGTAGGAATACAAAAGTTCCACATGGAATGAAATACTGGAAGAGGCAAAGTCAGAGAAAGTGAACCAGGAAAAGATTGTGTGGGGGCACCAGTGACCTAGTTGTAAGTTTGTGCGCCACATTTGCAGAGGCTGTTGTCCTTAAAAGTGAGCGGCCGATGGTTCAAGTCCCACCTTTGGCTCCTTTTCTGCCTGTCGTTCCCCACTCTCTCTCTCTCTCTCTCTCTCTCTCTCGCCCTGATTTCTGAGTCTGTCCACTGTCCTGTCTCTCTAATAGGGGCATAAAAAGTGCACAAATAAATCTTGAAAAACAAATAAAAATGAATAAATAAATAAAAAAAGACGGTGTGAGGGCTGGAGAGGAAGTTAATGTAGAACCAATCTTTAATTTATCTAAATATTATTATTTATTTTTATTTAAATGGATCTGTTGGACAACGAAATCAGGGCAATTAAATAAAAAATGACATTATGTAACTGACCCTTAAAAACTGCTGTGAATGCTTTCTCTCTCTTCCTTTCTTTTTTCAAAACCACCAAAGCACAGCCTGGACTCTTACCCAAAGAGGACTTCTTTGTTGTTGTTTTTAAAAAGTAGTTCTTGTGTTTCATTAATCACTGTTATGACACTGGTTATATTGAACACTTTTATAAGCATGTAAATGAGACAGACTTTAACGTCATTGAATGCCTCGTGGTTGGGGAACAATAGGGAAGAGGTTTCTGGTTTTGCTTAAGGGCTAAAAAAAAAAAAAAATCAGCTGCATTTCTTGAAATAAAATATGACCAAAAACGCTCACTCAACTGTTTTTGCATGAATTGAAATGACAAAGGGACAGCACAATTATGTTTGAAGACAATGGTCCCAAAAGAAAATCAGGGGGAAACGAGATTTAGTGGATTCTTGAATTGAATGTAGAAATACAAAACCAATAAAAAAAAAAAAAAAAAACACTGAATAAAGAAGTATCATGACATGACATGTGGGTTTCCCGCACACTGCATGGATGACTCTGCATGTCAGGAGGTCTGCCAGACCAAATAACGTGGACACAGAATCATTCAGAGGCTGTTTTTGATTTTAACCTTTGAGCCGAATCAACAGGATTTTCTTCTGGAAAGCATAAAAGCACAAACACGGAATACAACAGTTAGGACTTTAAAATCTGTTCCTACTACCGTGAATGCTCTTGGATATTCATGTTTACAGAGGGTTAAACCTGAGCCACGCTGTATGACCTGATATCAATAGTATAAAGACATTCATGTATTTATGACGGATGGACAGACGGACGGATGAATGTCTGGATGGACTGATGGATGGAAAAACACATACTGCAGATATATTGATTTAAAGAGAAAAAAAAAAACAGAATACAGTTGATTAACCCCGTTTCTAATTAAGAACAGTCTGAAGGACTTTAAATGACATAAATGTCATGCATATCTTCTCCAGGAGCTGATATAGCTTTTAAAAACTTACTGTAAGCATTTCCATAACGCACTAATGAGCACTATCTGATTTCCATATGGTTCCGTAAGGCAAGCATGCTGGCAAAGAAAATCCAATGCTAATTGATGCTAAAATTAGCTGGCTATATTACCTCATTAGCTAGCTGCCTATATGGTAGATATGTTGTATTAATGATAGCAGGACAGGAGGCCTAATACCAAAGCCAGATCTCTTGTACGACTACATACACTTGATCAATAAACTTAATACTGAATGAGGTTACATTCAGACACTACACAACTATCTCACACCCTTCTAGAGACTGTCATTACTTTTAAACTAAAATATAATGAAAGCTTTGTAAACTGTTTTCTACCTTTTAGCTGCAGTATACTTATCTTGTTTATGATGTGCGAGCAAACTGTTCTCCAGCTTTGTCTGAAGAGATTTTGCCTCAGATAAAACATTATAATCGTAGCAATATTGTATTGGCTTACTGTCAGTAAGAAAAAAGAGACACTTGTTATTGAACTCTAATCACTGCTGCTTGATTATATTGTATGGGGACACATTGGAGCATTTAATAAAAGTTGATGTAAAATGTTTGGAGAGTAAAAGATTGAGAGTCTTAAACACAAAGCAGTGAGGGGGTTGTGTGTCTGCAGTTTAAGAGATAGAGGAGACAGCCAGTGATTGGTTGATTGGTGGTTTCATCAGTCTGCATGTCAACCTGTCCTTGGGCCAGCTGCTGAACCCCAAATTGCTCTGGAAAGCTGTGCCATCAGCGTGTGAGTGAGTGCTTGAAAGTTTAAGTGTAAAGCTCCTTGAGACATCAACAGACAAGAAAAGCACCATATATGTGCAGTCTGTTTACAATGAACATAATTACAGTACATACTATTAGTGTGTCATTTCTGTAGCATGGATGTCTATGCTTTCAAATAAGCTCCTGTTCTTTTGTCCCATGTCTCTCTCTTACACACACACACATGTGGCTCGCAGAGAGTGAGCTTGAGGAGGAGGAGGAGGAGGAGGAGGACTGAGGGAAGTGACATTTGAAACAATAAGCTTTTGTTGCGCTGCACCATGCGCTGTCATATTACACAGATGTACTGCATGCATGTGCGCAGAATTAACACACACACACACACACACACACACACACACACACACACATGTTTGAAGTCGACTAACTGAAATGTCACCGAACTGTCGCATTGGAAAAATCAGCCATCAGAGATCAACAGGTGGAAACACTAAGCGGGAAAGAAGCGTCCCATTGGCTACAGGTGTGGTCGCCCTAGCATTTATTTTTTATTTGAAGCTGAATTAAAAACCTTCAACTCCAATGGACACCCAGTCCTATTTCCTTTATCAAACTTTTTTTAAATATAAATGAGAGAGGAGAAAGAAACAATGGGAGTAGTTGCATACAACAGTTGCATCCATATATTATGTTTGCAATGCCATCTCACACAGTTCTTCTTTTACGTGGATGTACATTTTTCATTAGAAAATTCAACACATGACTTGATTTGATTGTACATGTGGAGTGAAATGTTTCATTGTTTTTTATGTTGTTTTCACCTTAAAATCTACCTAACACTAACATCACTCTATTAAATGATTTAAAGTGTAAGTAATAGTCATATGCAGGCAGAACACAGTATGCAGGATTACTGATTTGTATGACAGTTTTCAACCCTACAAATCAGATCATTTTGCCGAATTCTAGCGAGTATACAGGACATAACCGCTTAAAAAGTCCTCTCAGTTCTCACGCTTGCATTAATCACGCAACAAGCATTAATGACACCCAACCTGCGTGAGTAGAAAAGCTGTGAGTATACAGTATGTGGGGCCGTGCAGTTTGTAGTGCATGGCTGCAGAGGTGTCAGTCTGCATGTGGCTTTCAGAAGCATGCCTTTGGTCCAGCAGCCATGCATAAAGAAAGGCATGTTTCAGAACCTTTAAAGGATAGGATGCATGCAGCCACCATGCAGAGCTCATAAACAGAAAAATCTCCCCACCAGTGTGCTGCTGGTTCTGAGTCATACCCAGGTCCATGCTCTTTGAGGCTTTGACGTGCTGGAATTGCCGCTGGTTCTGGTTCTGGTTCTGGTCCTGGCTCTGGGCGGGAGTCTGGGGCTGAGCTTTGCAAGAGTTGTGACAGTTTTCTCTGGAATAAAATAATGAAACAGTTATTACAGACAATGCTTTGACACCTTTTACGTGCTCGAGGATTGCTCTAAAAGGAAGTCAACCCCACAACAACCCATAATGATTGATATGTTTTTACTAATTCCCAAGAATCACTGTCTGCCCTGATCATGCCCCACTCATTCAATGTTTGCCAAAAACGAATCAACCTGTGCTGTCCAGTGCATTAAAGTGAGGATAGACGCGAGCTTTTCATCAAAAAGAGGATTGAGGATCAGTTTTTGGAAGTTACCTGGTCGTGCCTTTTCACTACATTATACACATTTCTAAGCATTTTAAGTCCCAGACATAAAAAAAAAAAAAAAAAAAACAAGTAGCCAGTCAGCTGCCTTATTTTCTTGAGTGTGAATAACAAAAATGGTTAAGTAGCTATTTTACCAGCTCTTGAATTAGTCATGTGTGTCAACTCTAAGGCGTTGACAAATCCTTGCTCTAGAAATGAGCAAACTGTTAGAAATCAAGGATTTGATTCTGGTGAGATGCCAAACCTCATTTCGTTACTCTATACTTGTATATGTGTAATGACAATAAAGTTGAATCTCATCTCATCTCATCTCATCTCATTTGATTTGTTTCTGAGGCTAAAACCATTACTCATGCAGGTTTTTCTTAGAATAACTTGAAGTTTATACCAAACTAATGACATCTTCACATCATTTTTCCTGAATGCTGATAACAGAATTCTTACATTAAGGAAATGATTGCCATTTTTTTGCTGATCTTTTATTTCTTATGATAGCAAACCCTGTGTGCTGCACAACGAAAAACAAAACCCCCGACAAGCACACACCTTTCCTGTAGATAGGAGTGCTGAGTCGAGCAGCTGAACTCTGTTTCATGTCCATACAGCTCCCCGTCTTCATCTTCGTCCATGTGAGAATAACTTCCATTGGTCACTAAAAAACAAACAGTAGAAGTGAATGATGTGAGAAATGGTGATATGTAAATAACATAGAAGCAAACCTATCTCTCCCCTTTTGAATAACCTTTATTTTTTTAAAGATTTTTTTTTTTTTTTTTTTGTGCCTTTAATGTAGAGATAGTGGATAGAGCCAGAAATCAGGGAGAGAGAGTAGGGAATGACATGCGGGAAAGGAGCCACAGGCCAGATTCGAACCCAGGCCGCCCCGCCCTGAGGACCATAGCCTCCACAAATGGGGCGCGCGCACCAACCACTGCGCCACCAGCGCCCCTTGAATAACATTTTTAACTACTACTATCAATCACAGTGTGCAGTATTTGCTGCTTACTATGTTCGACAGTAATATGTAGTATGTCTGCCAGTTTCTGGTCTTGGTCCAGGAAGTAAACAACAACCCAGCTGACGACAAACACGCTGCAGTGTATCATCCACTTACAGGTCAATCTGAAACAAGCTGACATGTGGTTCATTCTGATTTTCAGGATTTTGAGAATCACAAAAATAATTGATAATATCTTTGTGTGGTGGGTCAAATTGTGATTATTTCCCCTGTTGTGAGCGATAGCTGTCGCTGTCTGTCATTTGTTTGTTTCTAACCTGACGCTTTGCATTGTGGGAAACAGTACAAAAAGAAGACTGGTCCAATGCATGCTGTGAATCTCTCCGATTCAGTACAACATCCGGGTATTTTGGGGATACTTCGGATCTTGCATTTGTTTGCATGCTGCAGACTGCATTTTGGGAAAATCAGTGCGTACGAGTAGGTGGTTTTGAAAACAGCCAGTGTGTGTGTTGGTCTGCCACATTCTCCTGCTCCGCATCGCCACACCTCTCAGAGCTCTCCCATCACGATGACGCTGATCTGCTTAATCTGAGGATCTGGAGATAAACTGTGAGACAGTGCTTCAGTCTCTCCCTCACTCTGCTGCTGACTTCAAGCTGCATGGTACTTGTTGGTCTCCAGTGTTAGATATCCGGTGTTGTTTGGTGACTAACTTCAGCAGTGTAAGGACCTGTTTTGTTAAAGCTTCGACAAGCAGTTCAACGAAGGACACGTAGGGGTTTGCTTTTTGTATTCTGAGGAGGGGGAGCTTCTGTTCCCCTAGTTGATGTAGTACTTCCTCTATACACAATCTTAATGAGGTCTTAACAGGCTGTTACAATGTATTGCAGGTATATTTTTTTTTAATTGAGAGATATGTTCATTATTCTGTCCAATAAGAACGTCATCAATTAAAGCTGACCACCTTTGAAATGTAATATAAAATGCCAAAAGAATGAAGGAAAAAAACAAACATAGACTGCTCTGTTAAATTGTTATTGTCAACTCATTCCTTAAGATTCACTCAAAATTCTCATGAGATTTAAAAGTAGAGTGGGTTAAAGACAAGCGGAAGGGAAATCAGTGGGATGAGAATCAATTTGAAAGAAATGGAAAGCAGATGAAAAGCTCAGAACAAATGCAGCTGCCCTACATCTCTGGAAGTCGCTGCAGATGGAGCTCAGCGATACGGCTGTGTCTGCTTGAAAAACGACTTTATGACAACTTGATATACAGACTCACAATCCATCCAAGCACAATTTACATACAGTCATCACTTCTCAGAGAGCGTAGCTGCCACACACAACACATGCTGGGGTTATTGTGCAGTCTTCACAGTGTATCCTTTGTGTGCTTGCATCTGCACATGGCACTGAATGTAGACATCCTGGAGCTGAAGATATCACAGCCTCTCATCTCTATCTCTCTCACTAACACTAATCACCTGTTTTATTTTTCTTCTGGTCCCATTCTTGCAGTCTGATAGTTTGGCTGTCATTTATCTCTCCTTCCCGATCTCCTATAAATCATTTTATCTCCCACTCAGATTTTTTTCTCCTCCTTCTCCTCACTGCCAGCACCTTAATCAGCTGAACTGTCAAAAACCCATTCTTCTATCACCTCACACACACACACACACACACACACACACACACACACACACACACACACACACAAACACACATCTGTTCTCACTGACTTCAAGTCTTTGAAGTGAAGAAAAAAAAGCAGTTGCTGTGTGGATGATAGATCAATAGTAGTTTGCCCCAACAGCAGATATATGATTCTTCTTCTTCAACACTCAACTTTTTTTCTCGTTTCGTCTTTATTTGTCGACAATGATGTCTGGTAAATCATGTCTCTCAGTTTGTTCCCCATTCCACCATCTTTTTTTAATACCTTTTTTTACAAATCCTTAACTTTTGACAATTGTATGTCTTCTTTAAAATCCAATCTAAAACAAATTATAAATGGACTTGAGCTTGGATAGCACTTTTCAAATCTTCTGACTACACAAAGTGCTTTTACACTGCAGGTCACACCTACACATTTACACACTGATGGTAGAGGCTGCTGTGTAAAGTGACCATCAGAAGTAACTAATCCCATTCATGCACATGTATATGCTGCCGAAGCAGAAGTGGGAGCAACTCTTGGGGTGTAGTTTCTTTCCCAAGAACACATGGGACATGCTGTTGCAGGAGCTGGGGATCGAACCCCTGACCTTCAAGGTTGAGAGACGACCGACTCTACCAACTGAGCCACAGCTGACCTCATCACTCAAAGATGAAAGGGGTCAAGTTTATTTGGAAATCTACATTATCTTTTATTTTGGTTTAAGGTTTTGGTTTTTTTATTACACTCCATCAACTTAACGAATTGCAAAAATGATATTTTAAAGGAGAAGTGGAGTCTGACATATCAAAATATTGATCCCTACAATAGGTCAAGATGAACAGGATCCCACCTGTACGTTAATAGTTGATAATAACTAAAATAACATCAGTCATTTAGCTGGATTCAAAAGTTATTCCAGATCAGCCCCCATAGAGGCTTTATATGCGATTTTTCACACTTAAATATAATAGAAATCAAGTTTATCCTCTAAAAATAACTCTGTGAGTCATGACTGTCTACAATGGGTGTAACACCCGAGTCCCACTGTCTGTGATGCTTTCCGAGTTTTCCAGAGTCCTATCTTCACTTTGTTTACATCGCCTGGACGGCCGGCTGACTCCTCCCCTTGTGTATAAAAGTTGTTTAATTGAGGGACTAGAGAAAAGAAGAATAACATACTGTACTCACTGATTAACTGCGTTTCTAGATCACGCTCATTTAGGGTAAATTTACATGCAGTGTGAAGATACGAGCATAATAAAGATTGCTAGCATTAGCATGCTAACACAACAAGGCAGCGCGAGTTGTTTTGGTTTCATGCTGGTGCTCAAGGGCGACATCTGCTGGATGAAAAAATTGCATATAAGGCTTTAAGGCGGCCCTATGGCGCTAACAACTATCCAACATTTGGCCCAATAAAACACACTGTACACCACCTAACAAAGCAAACAAAGGGATTTATTATTAACAGACAAACTAAATCATAAACGAAGATCAACGCAAATACTAATTTACCATAACTAAACACAACAACACACAATCCCTGGCTGAGATGCACATCGGTCCCAACGCCAAAAGCCTCCCCTCCTGAAGCCAGCACAGGGTTTCTAAGCACTGAGGCAAGGTGGGCCTCGCTGTGCAATCAGAAGCTTCACCTGGACTGGTGACAACAGAAGGGGAGAAGGGACAAACAGCTCAGGGAACAACCCTGTAACAACTGAGGCAACTATACAACTTTTTATAATGGGTTTTTAATATCCCTTAATAGTAAAGTTGTCTTCATAGAACTGTTTTATTTTTTTTTCATATAATGACAAAATCAATGTAAATGGGATTCATGACAAAATTGGGGAAGGTTGCATAATATTTGAGGCAAGACTAAAACAGCAATTTATTTGAGTTCATCCCATCAAATGCAATTACCTTACAGAGTATGAGAGAGAGAGAGAGTGAGAGAGAGAGAGAGAGAGAGAGAGAGAGAGAGAAGGCTGGAAATGTAGGGAGAATTGTGCACAGAAAAGGAAAAAGTGAGAGAGGAAGAATAATAGAAGGAGACAAAATGAGATGCAGAGAAGGATCAGACATAAAGAGAATGATCCATAAATGCAAAAAAAAAATAAACACATCTGCATAAATACATATGTAGAGAATCATTAAACTCAATTTATTCCCCAGCAAAAGCTCAACATTTTTTTTTTTTTTTAATTTTCACTTTGACTTCAGCGCCAAATAAAATGAATTCAGTATGAGACATAGTTCATTAGGAGAGTAAAATACTGGCAAGTGTGCACAAACACACACACACACACACACATATACACACACAAACAGATGTATACACTCAAGCTAATAACATCAGCAAACACAACAAGTCACAGAGTCTGAGAAATGTGCTTACTCCATACACACACACAGACACACTAACATGTATACTGTGTGTAAATGACACCATAGCTGAGGTGAATTTGAAAAGCAAAGTGTATTCAAGGTCAGAGCTGTTTACCAAATTCTGTGTAAACACAAAAAAACAACACTGTTTGATACTGGCCAACAGTCCCTGAACCAATACAGTGACGTCTGTGCACAAAACAACTCATACAGCAGCCATAGACACAACAAACAGGCACAGATATCATCCAGAGACACACACACACAACCGGCACACAGAGGCAGAAACTGACACTGAGAATAAAACAAGCATGTATACAGTCAGATGAGCATGCTCGCTAATGGACACACTTCACAAGGACATACAGAACATATGGGACGGGGAGCAAATACAGTTACTGGAAAAGAGCTATATGAAGCACAAAGGACTAAAAATAAGTCCTTCTAACAGGCCAACCCGAGCAACAACAAACAAGAAAAACAACCTTGAGAAACATGAGAGAAGAGCAAAAAGCACAGAGAGAGAGAGAGAGAGAGAGAGAGAGAGAGAGAGAGAGAGAGAGAGGGAAGGGATAAAAGGAAAAGAGGGGCAGATAAGTCTCTAATTATGGCTGCAACGTTGATTAAACAATCTTTTTGGGGTTATTTTAGTTTGTTTTATGTTGGAGAAATTCCCTTATTAAACTTAACCAGTGAGTAATTGAATTTATTGCAAATAATAGGCCCACCGTTGATGCTACTTCACAGGCAAAAATTAAACAGAAAGAAGAAGATGATAGAAAAGTAAAAAGTTCTAATAAGATCTGATGTTGGACAGGGTCGGAATGAACTGGAACATTGTTTCAGGGGGGAGAGTCCGGGCAGAGCAGAGTACAAGATGAGTTTTTAGTAAAGTCGAGGGTTGACTAGGAAGAAGTGTGTGTGTGTGTGTGTGTGTGTGTGTGTGTGTGTGTGTGTTTTCACAGTGACAGAAACGTATCAATCAGTGATGAGCAGTTTCATAAAAGCACGCCGGGTTCCCCCAGTGTATTCTTGCTTTTTTTCTACTGCAGGCTTCAATTTAACAGCCCTGAAGCAAAGTTTGAAGAGTTTAAATTTACATTTCTGTGTCTACAGTCTGAATGGTCTAATTAGTAATTCTATAAATGGCTTAATTTCTCCAAAAGCAAGTGAACGATTGTACGTAACACTGTACGGAATGCCTGTAAATGAACTGCTTTCTTCAATATGTGCCACTAATGCTCTATGACTATCAGGTTGTAGCTTTGCAAATACAAAAAAAACAACAAAAAAAACTGAAGCAACTCTTCAAACAAAAGTTGGTACAATACTGCAAAACCAGAAAATTACACACCATCAACATGTCTTAGTAAAAGTCCTAAAAATCACTGACAGACATCTTGCTTATAACAGTTGTAAATACATTGTAGTTTTATCTTTATTGTTCCTATATTATTCCTATATATTCTTATTTTATTAATACTCAAATGCATGTTTTTCTTGTTGTCTTTTACTGCTGCAGCACTGATTATCTTATCTTATAAGTCTTTACAAAAGTGTCCCTTTGCTCGTTATTGTATTCTGGACTTTTTCCGCACATTTTTCAACACTGCAAGGACAGTACAGAATGGTTTTTTTTGTGGACTCTGCTGTCCTCTCCTACAGTACACACCTTGTTTGAGGTGACACGATTAGCACAGCTAACTAAACACTGATGTGAAAAAAATCCACTCACTGTTGGATGAATATAGAGTGCCGTCCAGAATGGGAGGGTTCATATGGCCGTTGGTCTGACCGTTCACTGGGCTCAGTAGACCTGGCAGGCCAGAGGAGCTGTCAAATGAGCGATTGGGTGACACTCCATGTTGATCCTAAAACAGGGAAAAATCAAAACTGCTTAACAAATTGAACATAAGATTTCATATTCATGTATAATGTCATATAATGAGCCCATCTACCTTCCTTTTTTTATATGTATTATTAGAGAACACCAAATAGTTATAATTGTAGACGTTGACTTTATTAAAACCTTTTATTCTAATGGAAAATGTTTGTGTTTCTGTTGGTTTGCTTGCTTTTCTAATGCAATTGTCTGCTACAAGGATTGAATTTAAATGGAGTAATGGCCAGAAAAGACAGTGGAAGCATTGAGTGGTTTATCCATTCACAGTAACATGTAGATAGAATAAAGAGGAAGAAGGAAACACTCAAAGAACAAGGGGGAGAACCAAGGTGAAACAGGGGGACCCATTTCCCATGGCCCCTTGGTTGTTACTGTCCTGGACGGATCCTCTGTCTTCTGTGTGTGTGGTGATGACACTCATTCTGACACCTATCCCCTTGAGAGAGCCAGCCCTCTTCAGGTCCCCTAATAGTCAAATAAAGCATCCATCCCAGTGTTGTTGTGTACTTGTATTTTAATATTAGGAATTTAATTTGCATGCATTAGTCAGTGGTGCGTTTGTGGGTGTGTTTAAGAAACTGTACGTATTCATTAACATGTATACATATTTATGCTGTTTGCCTGTGCTGCTGCTGTAAGTGTTTTTGAGTGTTTCCTTGTGTGTCTGAAAAGAGTCAGCCCTGGTCTCAAGAAACAAAGAAGACATAATAGTAGTGTGTGTGTCTGTGTCTGTGTGTGTGTGTGTGTGTGTGTGTGTGTGTGTGTGTGTGTGTGTGTGTGTGTGTGTGTGTCTGTGTCTGTGTCTGTGTGTGTGTGTGTGTGTGTGTGTGTGTGTGTGTGTAAGTGTAATAAATCCTTCTTGTCATCTTCTACTTGACCCCCCACCAAGCAGCAGCTCCATCCCCTCCTCATCCTGCTTCCCCCCGGACCCCCACCCAGAACCCTTCTTTTTGGGTGTGTTAGACGTCCCGCGGAGCCCCTCCCCTCCCTGGCTCCCTCCCTTAGCTCGTGTCAAAGAGCCATCAGATTACTCAGTTTAAAAAAAAACAACTATTGCTTAATTTATTACAAATTAAGTTTGGAGAAATAAAACATAATTTCTAAATACAAATAAACATATTACATTATTTCTGCATCACATCAAGGTACACATATAGACCATTAGCTTGCTTCTTAGAACCAGGCGAAGCATATTGGCTCTTAATTAGTCATCAAAGAGAAATCATTATTGCCCAAGTCAACGACCATGCCGTATGAAACATACAAAGCCACACACAGAGGGTTCCCCTTTCGTAATCTCCTTATTATTGCATATTAAAGGAGTATGGTGTGTAGAATTTTTACACTTAAATATCTAAATAATTAAAAATGGACTAAACCTATGTTACATTTTTTTGAGTACTTATATTACCTCTTGTATTTCCAACACATGTCAAAGCCAGACGAAAAGCTTAATTTTAAAGTTGAAAACCGGGCTTGCCGTGTTTATCGTTGCCATGGAAACACTGGATGTTACGTCAAAGACCGCTGCATAAAGACGCTGGAGCTGCTACTGAAAGCTGCCGTTCTGTTGCTGTATGTGCTGCTGTGATAAAAACCTCATGTAAATTATACTTGGATACATCGTCAGTAAACATATTTTCGTCCTCAGGTCGGTTTCGCCCGTTCGTCTTCACTGCAGTCAACTCGGTGTTTGTTTTCATCGGGTTGGGGGTGGAGTAGCAGAGAGAATCATCCCCCATGATTCCCCTCCAGCCTTGATGTCATCTTTGTTTTTGATTTGATTGAGAGCCCTATGGCGGCAGAATGTACATACTTTCTGTTTAACTTTAAGTAACTTTAACTTTGTGATAAATTGACCACTGCAACTTTATTTCTAAAGTCTTGTAAGGTGTTGTGTTCATGGAACGTTAAGAAAATACAATCAATCATATACAATCAACAAATACTTCACTGTAGACTTTCACTACTACCTTACACTAATGAACAATACACAATTTATGTCGAGTTCCTCTTCCTGAATTTACCACGGGACCTGTCTGCATATACATTGAGCTTCAGCCTGATTCATTATGTTAACTTTTTATATACACAATATTAACCTGCAGAGATTAAAAAAAAAGGAACAAAAAATTAGAAATACCAACTTTATACAGGAATGAAGACAATGTTGATTTGAATCACTGGTATATCTGCACTGATGGTAGAAGTCGGGAAAAACAGGACAGACTGTATCTTGTTTCATAGTTAGACACTGATATATTGCGACAGCCCGCGCCGAAGAAAAGCTTCAGATTACGCTGATGGAGCCTTCGTAGAACCACACGTATTAACTTGGAGATAGCCAGTGATTCTGGAGTTATTGAATGAACAGAGCAGCTGGATAAAGTAAGGGATTACTGAGAACTGGCTGAGCATGAATACAGTGAGAGCATCTGACTGAGAGAAAGAGCCAAGGAAAATATTCAAGAAACAAAAAAAGAAGACAAAAAGATCAGAGGGGGAAAAAAGTGAAGTGGTCCGCTTCTGAAACGTAAAAGCATCAATACTGAAGCCAAAAAAAAAAAAAAGGCTTTTAAGGTGGAGTCTTTTATCTTTCTGCCATTATCTTCCTCTCCTTTCTTCTCTACTCTTGAGACAAAGAGGAAACATGCAACTCTTTGATGTTGCTTGCATCTTTTTCCATCAAGCTATTGACTGGGGATGCCCTGAGAAATGCAAGTCATAGCAGTCTTCTACATGAATACATACACCTACCTACATCTGGGTAAATGTATGCTGAATGCCTTTATACGAGTTTGAAGGCAGTGTGTGTCATCATGTTGAAATCTATTTCTGTAGTACTCTATTTCTCAATAATAATATGAAGCTATACTCACTTATGCAATAAGAGGAAACAACTTTATATCATGTACCAATATACATACATGGGGGGGGCTTTTACTTGTTTTGCTTATTTGTGAGCATAGCCTGCAAGGTGTTTATAGTAGGTAGCTTTTATATCCAGTAGCAGGGCATGCAAAGGGCCATTCACACTTGAGCCAACAACCAAGCTTTGTGTGTGCAAAGGTTTGTGAAATCCTTCTACAAGCCGTGTAAGAGGCATCGGTTGAATAGCAGCCGAGATGAAAAGCATCATTTTTTTCTTTACTCCAGAAGAAAAGAGATACAGCAAAGCGAAGAACACTGTCTTCTTCTCTCCTTCACACACACACACACACACACACACACACACACACACACACACACACACACACACACACACACACACACACACACACACACACACACACACACAATAACACACTATAACGTACAAGCTGAAGTGTTCATGCTCTTTCCCTGCTGCTGGAAAGAGCAGAGAAAGTAGTGTCAAGTGTGTGAAGAATGGATGGAAGAGCTTAAGAGTGGGTATGTGTAGAAAGAGGCAGAGGGAGCAGCCAAAAAAAAAAAAAAAAAAGGGCCAAGAGTGATGATAATGAAGCATGCATGCTCACTTTCATATAGCATGCATGTGTTCTCATTCTTACATATCCAACTCTTGACATTTCCTCAGAAATTTAAGTTTATTATGAAAATGTAAATATTGCAGCACATGTCCATCTCTATGTAACCATCAAAACTGTTCTGATCACAAAGGTTTGATATGAACATCCACATTGGGCAACGTCTATGCAAATTCACACAGTAGTGGAAGACTTGCGATTATGTTCAACATTTAGCCTTTGAATATTTGTTATAATTCATTTATTTATTTTTAACACCCCTTTTCACAACAGAGCATTTCAGTTCACAAAGCAATAATGTCATTTTTAGTTGACTCAGTGAATTTCTGAGACCAGACTTCTGTAGAGCTTTTGTGCTTTTTTTTTATTATTCCACAGCAGGCAGCAGGTGCTTGTAACCCTCTTGTTACTCCTGCTGTGTACGATGTGTGGCTTTAGTTCACCTTCGTCAGAACTGGTGCGCACATGAGTGTGTGTGTGTGTGTGTGCGTGTACCTTCAGAGTCCTTAGCACCACAAGCTGGATCGTCCCCCTCACGTTTCCCTCCTGTGACATAGAGCGACGCAGCGTCTCCATGGCAACGTGGTTGGAGCGTCCAAGCAGAGATTCTCCATTGACTGCAACCAGCTGGTCGTTGACACACAGACGCCCGTCCTGTAAAACACACACACACACCAGTTGTATTCAGACATCAACATTGTGCCATGTTGAGTGGCTATATACTGTCAGTGTCAAGATTATTTGTATTCATGTCTCTTGTTCGCTAAAACTCTTCTAACACTGTGCTCATGCTTGTATGCATGTGTCTAAATGTGACTCAAAGAAGGATAGTGAATACTCTTACAATACAAGTATAGACTATAAAAGACACGGATGCAGTCTCTATGATGCCAATCATTGGTATTTGTAGAGGCATGATGATGGTCACACCCACCTGCATTCAAAATGAATCTAATCTAAAAGTTCACTGATACACCTAATTCCAGAGATATCATTTTCTTCAACTTTCCTACTCACTTCAGCTGCACACACACACACACACACACACACACACACACAGAGAACATGCTATCAGCTCCATCTGCGCGTGTGTGTGTGGTGGGGGTGGGCATGAGGGCATGTGCCTGACAGTCTGTCTCTCTGCTGTCTACAGCAGGTCAAGTGTGTCCTAGTGAGCAAGATGTCAAAGGTTAAGTGAACAGGAGCACATGGCAGCAGAGTCGACACAGGTGGCCTCACGTCACTGAATCGTTTACAAAGTGATTACATTCAGTTTGTCAGTGTTGTTTGGGATCATTGGGTTATGTTTCCAAATCTGATGTCACCTTGTATGCAGCCCCTCCATGTATAATGGATTTGATGAAGATTCCCAGGTCCTCTCCCGTCTCCCTCGACTTGTTTCCTTTGAGGCTGATGCCGAGCCCCGCCGAGCCGCTGTCGTTAAGGGGCACCTCGAACATTAGCTGCTCCTTCCCGTTCTCCGACACAAAGCCTGGCACACGGGACACCTCGTCCCTCTGGAAGTGAGAGAGTGGAAAAAGAGTAATGGAAGCGGGAGAGACGCAGATGGGGAAGAGCAGAGGGTTGGAAGAGTGTGAGGAGGAGAGACAGGGGTCAGCTCATTGGGCATGAATAGTCTCCTAAAGCTAAACTAAAAGCTTTTCCATTTGAGAGAGACCATCACAAGGAGCTTTTCAGCCTAAATTTCTCTGTGGGGAAAAAATAAATTGCGGCTATTTTATCTGGTTAGTCTATTTCCAAAGACGGAAAAAATATGAGTAAAAAAGCCATTTGGACCCACTGCTTTTATGTGGGTTTTTTTTTCTTCTCTCAGTTCAGCAATATCAATAAAATGACCTGTTCATTTTCAAGAGGTAATTTGAGTATACAGCAAACACAGAGAGCCAGAGAGACAAAAGTAGTGAGAGCTGGGGGGGGGGGAAGTGGACTCAGAAGAAAGACTGTAAAACACACCGAGAAGAAGAAGAACAAAGCGTGAATGACTGTATCGATAAAATGACTGTTAGAAACCCACAGGGAGAGTGAAAAACATTGTTATCAACAAGGCAAAGTTAGTCAGGAAAAATATTAGTAAGAAAGACAGCAAGCGGATCCCACAGGATGGAAGTGTGTGGTTTCAAGCTTTGATGGGTTAGTGCGAGAGATTTGGCACTGCTTCAAAACACTACGATTATCTGTCTTTGAAATATGATAAAAAGAAGACAGTACTCAACAAAGCATCCTTTCTATCACAAGTACTTAGAAACCCTAACGCTTATTCTTCAGACCCTAGATAATGCACTCGTTTGTCATCAAAAAGAATGTGCGACTTTTTGATCCAGTAGATGTCGCCCTTGAGCACCAGCATTAAAACCAAAACAAACCTCAGTTTGGGGACACCCCCCGCCATACTGAAGCCTCCGCTCTCCTCTGGTGACACACCTCCAACCCCCCCCTCCCCTTACGTTCGCATTCCTACAGTCCATGGTTTGCACAAAGGAGTTATCAAATGGAACGCGCCGTAATTAAGCAGCATTAAGAACAAGCAGCAGACAAGATTGTCCTTTGCTGGAGCTGCGTGTGGTCTGCATTGCTGTGTTGGCAGGCTAATGTTAGCACACTTAAGTTAGCTCGTAGCTTCACATTGCACATCCATTGACACGGTTAACGTTGCTCTAAAGAAGCAGCCAGCGAGACTCGTGCTTCTCACTCACCATCGACGCTCATGACTCAGAGAGACATTTACAGAGGATACACTTGATTTCTGCTGCATTTATGTTTAAAATACTTTTAGCACATTTCTTGGATATGTTTTATTTGTAATTTGTAGATAAAAAAAAAAAAAAACTACACTATTGTTCATTGCCAACATACCCTGCCTGTATAAGCTGAATATATTGAAAGCGATTAATCATAGCTTCATTTTTGCACACACACAATGTTATTTTTTGCCAAAAACAAAATGTTAAATGAAAAAATTGTATTTCAACTTTTAAAATGACATTTTCTCATGATGTGAACACGTGCATAGCTTTGCATCAGTGTCGTTACTCCAGCTGATTTCTTCACAGGGACAGTGCCGACTGCCATCTACTGCAGGTTAGAACATTGAACTCAATTTAAAAAACAAATCCAAACTATCCCTTCAAGCAATGTATGACATGGTAGGGAGTCTAACAACATTTAAGGAGTGCTTGGAAAGTAAATAACTCATTTCCTACCTATTTATCAATTCTGCTCAATATTAGGACTGCAGAGCATCCAGAGTCGTTTTCTGTCAATACGTATTACACAATGACATATTTGAAGCTAGTTAGGAGTTTCTGGACATATCTATCCCTCTTAAAAACAACATGAGGGGCTGGTGTTTGCAGCTGGTGTTACTGTTTCTAAGGGTAAACTTGACACATTAATTGTTCATGTCAAAAATTTCATGACTGCATTGTTGATTTCTCTTACAATCAAGATTCTGTCAACAAATAACCATATGTTTATTTACATTACTTTGTGTGTGTGTGTGTGTGTGTGTGTTTGTTTGCATGAAATCCATAAATAATTGAATTTGCTTATGATGTGCATGTGCACATCTTTAGTCTGCCTGGGCTTGTTTATGTATTTGCATGATTTCTGAGTCTGTGTGTTTTTGTTTGTGTCTGTGTCTGTGTGTGTGTGTGTGTGTGTGTGTGTGTGTGTGTGTGTGTGTGTGTGTGTGTGTGTGTGTGTGTGTGTGTGTGTGTGTTCATGTGTGTTTGCGAGGGTCAGCAGTGTCAGGTTTAGACAGTGTTTGTCTGTGGGGATTGTAGGTTTAACAGCGTTAAGCCGACACAAAGTCCTCTACTCTGCAGAAAACTGTTTTCCCTGCTGGAAAAACCCTCTCATCAGACTGACTGTCCGGACCTGATAGGAAGCTAAATGACCTTCGAAAGAACTTCAAAACACCCAGAAGAGAAATGTTTACTACTTTATGTGCATAATTACATTGACAATGTATTACTCTCTGAGATTCCATCCAAAGCAATGTTCATGATTTAGCAACTTTTCAGTTTTCCACCACAGCTACATTCTTTATTTATCTGATTTAACTGCCCTGCTTTGTTAATTTATGATTTCCTTTTTCTTGCACTCAGCACAGGACAGCACTAATGTCAGAATGGATTTAGGAGAACAGGACGGATTTAGTTATACGGGAGAAAAGTTTGCAGCAGCAGTTCTCAGCTTGGGGGTCAGGACCACCCACATGGCTTGTGAGACGTTTTATGGAATCTGACAAAAATATGCAAATGTATGTAGAGTTGGTTATCTGGGTGATGAATTTAATTCCCCTCTAAAACAATGAATAAGCACCGCCTCTGGACTTCCTTCTATAACTCACCAGACAAACAAAAAGACCATAAGGGTTGAAAAAAAAAAAAAAGGTCCATCATTTGGTGTCAAAACTTGACTTTAAAGTTAAAAAAAGCCCCTATTTCCATAATTTTGTGTAATATTGCTGGGTGTTCTTGTCTACCTTGTATGTCTGTATTGTAAAAATAGCTATAAATAAAGTATTTTAAAAAAAAAAAGCCCCTATTTTCATGAACTGAACTTGCTCTAAATGCACACACACAGGAAGTGGACAAGGGCACAAACAGATTTCAAGTGCATGCTGCATTTTCATGGAACATTTCTATTATCTCAGCCTCATTGCTATTATAGGTGGTTATATCTGTGTGTAATACAATACAATGGTGTGCACTCATGTGTGTGTTTCTCTGTTTGCTGCTGTGAAAGGCGTTCGTATTTTTGCTACATGAACTCTATCAAAACCATCCAGTTATAGCAAAAAATCTGTTTGCATAGATGAACTCTCTCATGCCGGTCGTTTAACATTTAAATGGGATGCCACAATGATGGATCAACAAGAGGACACGCTATTAAAAAAAAAAAAAGGCAGCTCAGTGTCTGTCGCTGTGTGTAAAATACTATGTGTGTTTGTTTCATTAAACCAGCCAGGGAACCATGTGTGTGGGGGGAAAAAAGATGGAGAGAAACGTTATGTTGAAATGAGCTGAAGCGCTCAACTAAAACACACAAACGCATAAAATAAGTCCTTTAATTCATCCCTAAAGCCCAGACAAACTGTAAAGCAGAGAGAGATGAAATATAAGAATTAGGCAGGGGATAAGACGGGTGATGATCATCATTTTTGTTGTGTAAATAATGTTAGAGATGTTCTTTAATACTCTATTAACTTTATCATCATTATATTACAGGACACCTGCTTTAACAACATGGTCCTTTAATGAGAGCTGCCTGCAGATGCCCTTCCACCCAGCCAGTGCAAAGTAACTCTGTGTGTCTGTGTGTGTGTGTGTGTGTATGTGTGTGTGTGTGTAGACAGTAGAAACGACTGCCTGAGGACCCATTTTACAGAGCCAAACAACAGTAGCCGCTGTGATTAAACGTGACAGTACGTGTGGGAACAAACACACTAAGACACAACTGAGGTACGTACCATTGTTGAGAAAAAAAAAAAAAAAAAAGAATCCTGACAATATGGGCTATGATTTTGAATTATGAAAACAACAGTCCTATCTCTGACCGCGGTAGATTGGCCCCTGTTGTCCGATCCCCTACATCTACTCCCAGCGCCTCTTGATGGTCAGTGAAAAGGTTGTAGTGGGAGACCCACTGAGGCAAACAGAGGATGAGGAATTGGTTGACAAAGGCACACAATTACTTCAGTGTATATTCTGCCTTTTTCTAACTGCATTCTCGATATTATTTTTACACTCAAGGTTAATGAAAGGAATTACGAAACAGCCCTTGTGGACATAAATTAGGTATCAAATATTTACTACTGTTTCAGAATCGAGCATCTTGATACTAACTTAACATTGGTATCTTAAGTTGAAATTTCGCTGTCCTGACAACACTACAACGAGCAATCTTTCCTGGAGAGGAATATTAAAGAATGAAACAAGCAGGGCATTATAGCCTGCAAGTTCTGAGAAACCCTACAGCAGATGATGGCCGTGCAGGGTTCATTTTTCAAGGCTACAAGTGGTCATGGGCGGTCATCTTGTAATATGGGGTCATGGTGCGCGCTGGGCAGCCTTCTGTTCATGTGTCAAAGCTCCCCACATGAACACAGAATCGTTTCTTGGCAACAGTATGCGTCTTACTGTTTTCTTGACACCGCTGAAGTGAAGACCTTAAAGGGGATCTTTTCGTGGGGACTTTTTGATCAAATCCAAGGGTGACTGGTGAGTGGGTGTAGTAATAATGGACTATGGGAGCAGAATGTTTGAAAGGGCATGTGCATAAGCAGAGGAAGCACGCGGGTACGCGCTCATAAAACATACACTTGTTCAAACTTACAGTGGGTACGGAAAGTATTCAGACCCCTTTACATTTTTCACTCTTTGTTTCATTGCAGCCATTTGCTAAAATCAAAAAAGTGCATTTTATTTCTCATTAATGTGCACTCAGCACCCCATCTTGACAGAAAAAAAACAGAAATGTAGACATTTTTGCA